GATATTGCCCACAGAGGGAAAAAGCTAACTCAAGGAGCTTGTCCGGCCCAATTAGAATGATCTTAACATTTAGGAATACACCACTTACATACTTTAAATCCTCTCTATTTGTTCCCCCAACTAGTATGACATGAATTATCTTTGCAGCCACCTAGTATACTAGGTAGGGCTTCAGATGATACTCTTATCCCTTGATATAATTTCTAAAGCAACCTCTTTCATTAATCTGAATGAGAATTGGTAGAACAATGTAGTAGAATTGCTTTGTCTGGCACAAATTTGAAGTCTACAGTCTGGGAAGTTTAAGGTCAAACCTTTGAAAGCTTTTGCACAATATTTAGGGCATATAAATATAATTTTTGTTTACCAAAAATATTCTTCATCAAATTGAATGTTTCAATATGAAAACTTTGACCACACAAAAAATTGTGTACATTTTTAAAAACAGCTGTGAACATATAGACACTATTGTAAAAGTTATTAAGCTAACTGAATTTGGTTTTCGAAAAACTAGTATCTAAGCATATGCCTACAGATGATTTGCTAGCTTATGAAGGATAACCCTCAAAATCTCTTCTCTACATTGTAGAATATTTTGAGCTTTTCTTAAAACAGAAGTTTTACATTAGTAGATAAAAAAATAGATGACAGACTGTTTCACTGACAGCCTCAGGGCTCAAGTGTCATCATAATAAGAAGAGATGGCAGTAGTTCTTACAAAACCATAAACAAACATGGCATATGAAGGCTGCTAAAATGAACAAAGATATGTATGCAGCACAGCACTTTCCAATCAAAATACTGTGTAATATGTGAATGAATAGTCACACTGTTCCAGCAGATGCTAGCATTTTTAAAAAATGAATTTGGGAACTAAACTTTTACTCCGATTCAATACCTTGCCTATGGCCTTTTAAGGTATGTTCTGGGGGGAAAATGCTAGAATGCCATTGTCCTGGGTTTTGATACAATTGATATAATTGATCATGAGTTTTGAAAAGTTTCCTTTATTGAGGAATCTGAAAGCCTTGTATAGTTTTGATCAAAGGGCAAGAAACACTTATTAACATTATTTGGACCAGGAGCATTTTCAGCTTCTGAGTTACCTGAGACACTAGAACAATTTGTTAAACTAAAAGAAGAAGAAGCTACTATAAGTTTTTACAGGTATTTTTATCAATAAATCAGTTTGATATGCATATGCTAAAAGATGAATGGAATAAAGAATTAGCGGTTCCTATATTGCCTATGGAACTGTATCTTAATTTCTATAGCAAGAGTGTATCAATGCACTTTAAACTACAATATGTAAAACAAAAAATAATATGTAGAATTTATTGTCCTTTATGCTTATGTATAAAGAATTGGTTAAGACAGCATTTTGTTGGAGATACAATAAGGTTAAAGCTTCTTTAAAACACATGTTTTTACATGTACTAAAGTTTTGGGAGAAAGTAGTGGACTATAAACATGACTGTGTGACAAGAACTAAAAGTGCCAGAGAATAGTATTCTCTTGAACTGCATACCGGTACTTAGATATTAGATATTAACCTAGAGAAATTAACAATGAGAAAACACAAATGGAACCCCCCCCCCTTTTATGGCTAAAAAAGTGATATTGCAGCATTGGAAAGATAGGTTTATCACCCTATTCACTCAGTGGATGGGAGATCTGATCATATTTGCCACCTATAGCAGATTGCCTATAGACATAGATTTTGTTTGGACAAGTATAATGAAAGATGGGACTCATTTATACAAAATATAGTATGCTAAAAAATAATGATAGTTATAAAAGTGATTCCACCACAAATGCGTGAACAACAAAAGCGTGCCTGACTAAACCGCGGTGACAAAACCGCACCAACAAAACTGCGTGACGAATGAGCGACAAATTAGCCCTAAAGCGCGCCGACAAAAGCGCTCCAACAGAAGCGCCCTGTAACGTAATTCTAAACCTAACCCTAAACCTAACCCTAAACCTAACCCTAACCCTAAACCTAAACCTAAACCCTTACCTTAACTTAAATCGCGCTTCTGTCGGCGCGCTGTTGTCGGCGTGCTGTTGTCGCCGCGCTGTTGTCGGCGCGCTGTTGTCGGCGCGCTTTTGACATCGCGGTTTTAGCACCGCGGTTTTGTCGGCGCGCTTATGACGTTCACGTTTTTGTCGGGTCACGTTAAAAGTATATTAGAATATGCATGTGTGCATGTATATTAGATAAATATGTAGAGAATTATTTACTGTTCAAAGAACATATTACACTTTATGTTTTGTATTTTTTCTGTTGTGTTTTTTTAAGCATCTGTTATGCATTTTTAATAATCAGATACATTTGGTTTTGTTGTATTTAAAAAAAATACAAAAGGGCCAGGAATCATAGCAGAGTAGCACGTAAATTTTATGCAATTGGATCAAGATGCTAGATTACTTTTTCTTAGAATATGACTGAATGGCTGGGAAGAACTCCTCTTATATTTCTTATAATATTTTTGACTGCAATATTACTACTTTCTTTGCATCAGTATATATCTTGGTCTTTTTATTTTCAGTATTTGATCATAAAAATAAGAAAGAAAATTTATTTTAGATGAAAACTTAAGTTTTTCTAGAAATTCCTTTTGCCCAATCATTCTAACCCAAGGCTTGGGGAAAATATCAAGTTTTTAAAAGTTCACCCAAAAGAGACAAGATGGGGTCCAGATACTGACAGTTGGATATAGCAACCATTATAATCTGTTTAATGATATAATAATAAAATAACAAGAATAAGAGAGGTATACTTTTCCAATGTTATAGTCCAAGTTATACTTCTTCTCTATAGAACATAGAAACATCTTTTTAAACTAAGAATTACTGCATACTGCATATTTAATCTGCACATTTCTATTGTTTACAAATAAAAGCAAGATATTACTGCATAGAAAAGAATTTAAATTGCACTACTGAAATAAATGTCAATAATTCCAATGTAATACTAGGACTTATGAATAGCCAATTAAATAAGTCTTATGGAAGGCTGATTTTGTATGTGGTAACTCCATCAAGACAATTATATGCAGAAAGATGTAAAAGTACTAATATACCCACTTTGGAAGAATGGTTCGTGAAGTTGCAACACTTGCAGAAATGGCATAATTGACTTGTTTGGTCAGGGATACACCAGGTAATTTTCTAAAACAGAGGTACCCAACATTTCCTGCTTTGTGGACCGGCCAAGGTGGAGAGAAGATGGTTCCATGCGAGCAATGCATGGGCAGGCAGCTCCATTTTCACAAGCGTCGCACAAATGGAGCACGTTCACCTGCACTTCCACCGCCCAGTTACAAAAGGCTCAAGGTCTCCCACTGCGTGGGAGCCAGGGATTTATGCTAAAAGACTGCAAATCTCATATGGACTTTTGCTGAAAATAGAAAAAAATGAAATGGTAATTTATGGGTTTGCTGATTAAAAAGGGTTGAATATGGGAACAAAAAAAAAACAATGTTGTAAGTTTAAGCAGAAGGGATGGGAATGAATTTGCTTGTAACTGCTGTATAGCACAGAAGTTGATTCTTTATATATCTTTTCTTTTTCTGCCTGCATGTTTTATCATCTTTTTTGTATCTTTTATGTATTTCTTCATTTTATTCTATATAATTTCATATTTTATTAATTTGAATTATTTAAAAATCTCAGAGTAATACAAAAACTACATTTAAGGTTTAATAGTGTATTAATTTATTAGAATGAGCTTTCCTCCATCAATCATTTCCTAACAACCTGATATATATCAACTCAAGTTAAAAGAGGTTGTTCTATTTTGAGAAACATAATCCACTAATATCAAATTAGTTGTGAATGTCACCCTATAATTTTTATTGTCATGCTACATCTGTTACAGGAATCATATTGAATTCTTGTTCTGCTCAGCCAGGATTAATTTGTATGCTCTGATCTGATATCTAAGCTTGTCAGAAGTTTTGGCAAAAGAAAGCAGGACAAAGCTGCCAGCAGACAAATGAGAAATTTGGGATTATAGCTTTATAACTAGACCTGTTCATGCTATGTATCTCTACCCACCCTTTGGTATTTTTGTTTCTTCACCTTCTAATGTACTTCGTAAAAGAAAGAATTGAAAAATGTAATTGATGGGATTAAAAGTCTCTGATAATTAGTGAAAGATACAAAAATAATGAAAGACTGTAAATGTATTATTTTAGAAACAACTGACCCGGAAAAGAATGGAAAAAGTGAAGGAAGTAATAGTGGAATAAAATGATTGCAAGAAGAGATATAAAAACTTGTACAAAAACCACCTTAGAATGAAAAATGGACATAAATAAAGAAATGTGAAACTTCTTGAAAAGGGAGGAATAATGTTGCAGAATGCCAGAGAAGTAAATTGCATTTACTTACTCAGATTGCTGTGTGGCTCCAATCCAAAAAAATCTGAGTAATTAACAAGCTTTGACCATCCCTCAATCAACAGTACCAATGTCCTCAAGAGTTATTCCTCCATTCCATTCTACAAAGCCCTCCAAAATAGTCAGGTCTTGACTCTTTTGGGGAAATATAGCAGGGATGCTTGTTCCAGAAAAAAGGGCATCATTGAAATGGCTCATATACAGGAATGCCTAGGATTCATGATGTCACATTCTTTTGGAGGAGTGACTCTTAATATGTCTTTTCTTCTTAATCTACCCAGATATCTACCCAAAGTAGATTACCTCAGAAATCACTGGCTTTTAACCATACACTTTAAAAAGTGGCCCAATCTCCACCAAACTCCTAGAAGTCCCTTAAAATGTGGCTGTCAGCAGGATTGGATCTCTCAGGGAAAACACAACTGATCAGATGGTTACACTACATATACGAATTCAAGAGTCATATACAAGCATTCAAGAATGGTTGAAAGGATAGAAGGATACTGAGGTTTAATAAATGAGCTTGATATGCATGATGTCAAAACTGTATTCATTAATTATTTGTACAAAGTCTAGTCTGTTTGTTCAACTTAGAATCTAGAAGAGCATTGTTGGCAGGTGATGGCATACATAATTTTACAGGAAAAGCGTGTGAAGACATGTCTGATTTTGTTCATGAAATTGTTGGGTCCTGTGATGGTGCAATTGATGTAAATGTCGGGGAAAGTAAAGATCTGGATTTGTTGCCGGGAGTTGGACATCAGGACACAGAAAAGACAATATCAGAACATTTCAACTTCCCATGGCATTTGATTATAGATTTCAAGATAGCTGTTTTTGAAACAATTGAACTACACCACCACTGTTGAACAAGAGGTTGTGGAACTCACCTAGATAAAAAGATTTCAGACCATTTCAGAAAGTCTTAACAAACATTGCTACTTGATGAGGTATTTGCAATCTGTCTCACAGGTAACTTAGTCTGCATAAACATTCTTTCTTCTCACCCGTAGCTTCATTCCAATTTACATTGCTTCAACTACTTTATGCTCTAACGAAGAGATATATAGTTCACAAATAATAAAAATAGTTAGTCTGAAAAGGTGTTACCAGACTCCTTCCAATTTACTGTTAATTGCTATTTCTTGCAAGGCAATGTAAAACTAGTATAAATAAATAAATGCAAATAAGTACAATCTTAGAAATAATATCCTTCCCTGAAATTAAGAAATAAATTGTCTACTATTACAACATATATTTAAAACTGTTCCTCTGTTTGTATTTTAGAAAAACCTCCTGTTTCTACCTCCAATATTACCCATCTCCCATTTATTTCAGTTTTAAACACATAGTGTAATCCAAATTGGGATTGGACTGGAGATATTATTATTTATAAGATAATTCAAGATTATCTTCCTTTAGATTTGGTTACATGGTCCAAACCATTCTTAAATAAGACAAGTATAGCCTTCTTAAGTTTATGAATGCTTGTTAGGAAAGTATTAGAAAAATGGTATCAAAATAATATCAACTATTCCATATTCCATAAAACATGTATTTCAAATATAGCAATTCTCATGAAAAAAAAACTTTTAAAAACCAGGAAGATGAATTACAATTGAAGGCTATTGAGTCATTATGGAGTTCTGAAATGGTGTAAGATTTCCCAACATCCCTGATCATAAAAATAATTCACTTAAACCCAATCTTACTCAATGACTGGTAGCTTCTTCCATCAAGATATCTGTATTTTAGAATGGAACAGGAAAAGTGCATAGATTGCTATTCATCAGCAAATGAGTACTCTCAAAACAGTCTCATGCCACCTCTTCACCAATAAAAACAATATGTTTGGTTAGTCTGTGTAGCAAGGAGAGTTAGTACCACATATCACTAAGTAGGAAAGAAGTTATACTCTATTGCTATAAGGATAAAGAACTGGTAATCAGCAAAGATTCTTAAGATAGATCATAATTATTCCTATACTGAAGACAAGAGGGATCTGCTGTTGATCCTGAGATTGAAGTGAGTTGCCCAAGAGCCATCTAATGAATTAAACAGTAAAATTATATCTGAATCAGGGGGGTCACATCTTACATTACTAGGCACAGTGCTATAACCACTCATTAAAAAGTAATAACAAGGCAGAAAAAACCCTAGAATTCTGACTTGCCCTACCAGGAATCTTTTGGAAGCAAGTAAAAATGGAGTTCTTCTGGGGGGGATTTCTAAACTTAGATTTAACTCAGCTAATATGATACTACCTATCGAATTGGCTTCTTATGTGCTCTTTATGTTTGTGCAATTTTCATTTGTTTTTTGTGCAACGAGCATTAAATTTTCTGCCACAGATATCAAGAGTCTCACAACTATGTCAGTAAGAAAAACCAAATAAATAGGTGTGAAATAGGTGGTACCTGGTTCAGTAGTGGTAACTGGGAAAGAGATTTAAGTGTCCTAGTGGACCACCACTTAAACATGAGCCAGCTATGTGCTGCAGCTGCCAAAAAGGCCAATGCAGTTCTAGGAGGGATAGCATCAAGATCACAAGAAGTGATAGCACTACTATACACTGCACTAGTGAGCCCATACTTGGAATGCTGTATCCAGGTCTAGCCACTAAGATACAAAAAAGATGCTGAGGTCTTAGAAAGAATTCAACAACAAGGATAAGGGTTTGGAGGCTACGTTGTACAATGAATGGTTAAGGGAACTAGGTATGTCTAGCTTGATGAAGAGAAAGCTTAGGAGAGACAAGATAGCTGTCTTCCAGTACTTGAGAGCTGTCACAAAGAAGAGGGGGTTGATTTATTCTCCAAATCACCTGAGGGTGGGACAAGAAGCAGTGGGTGGAAGTTCATCAAAGAGAGATCCAACCTGGAACTAAGGAGAAATTTCCTGACAGTGAGAACAATTAATCAATGAACAGCTTGCTTCCTAAAATTGTGGGTGATCCATCACTAGAGTTTTTCAAGAATTCATTGAACAGTGATTTTTGTGCATTGTACTGTTCTCCTACCTTAGGCAGGGGGTTGGACTAGAACATGTCCAAGATTCTTTCCCGCCCTATTATCATCCCCTCCCTCTCCTCTTTCCATTGCTAAGCAAGACAATTATTAAGTGAGTTGTGCTCCACTTTGTGTCCTTTTTGCCACAGTTGTTAAGCAAATTGCTGCAGTTGCTAAATGAATCATGGGGCTGTTAGGCGAATCTGGCTTCCCTCATTGACTGCTTGTTGGAAGCCAGCTGGGAAGGTTACAAATGGCGATCACATAATACTGGGATACTAGTTGCCAAGCACTCGAATTCTGATCACATGACCATGGGGATACTGCAACACTCATAAGTGTGAAAACTGCTCATAAATAACTTTTTCAGTGCCTTCAAACATTCACTAAACAAATGATTTTAAGTCAAGAACTACCTGTATACATGTGTCTCTGTGACAAATATAGAAAACACCATCAATTTACTATCTCTTAATTCTTTTTTTTAAAGAAAGGATATTTCTCAATTGCAAATATTAATACAATTATAATACGAATATCAGGATAAAGTACTAATTACTGACCATGAAATGTCTTATTAACAGTTGCTTTTCTGCAAGCTTTAGAATCTTCAAAATAGCAAAAAAAAAAAACAAAAAAAAAACCTGTTTCAGCATCTTGGTATCTACAAACAGCCAAAGCTATTTATACAAATCCCAGCACATTTTAAAATAGAATCAGAAGAGCTGGAAGACAGAGCCATTTGGCAGTACTATATAGATCAAGCAAATACTGAAAAAGGACAAAAAAAAATTTAAAATGTACATTTCAAGCAAGAGATCCTCTCTACAGATTGTAAAATTGAACAAATTCTTGATACTAGATCCAAAATTCACATAGAAAATATTACTTCAAGAAGTGAGGAACATACCTCAGAATAATATGTGGAAAAAATGCACATGGTTAAGAAATTAATCACGTATAAAACTTTTACATACATGTAATTTAACTTTTATTCCCAAATACTTATACATGCACAAATGTTTTCTTCCCCCTCCATACATAAAGATTTTCCCATGTTCCTCCCTACCAATACACAAAAAGCTATTCTGACCTTATGTTTTTTATAGACTGAATGGTCCAACCTGGTTTATTTATTTATTCATTTATTTATTCGTTCATTCATTCATTTATTTATTTTCATTTGTCAACAAGTACAAGAAAACAAGTAGGAAAAACACATGAAAAAATGGCAAAAATAAAAATAAGCAAAACATTATCATAAACACAAAAAAGAGTAGATATGAATGGGATAGTAGGAGAGGGATGGTAGGCACGCAGGTGCGCTTATGCACGCCCCCTTAGGGACCTCTTAAGAAATGCATAAGGTCCATGGTAGACACCTTAAGGTAAAAGGTATGGGGGTTAGAGGAACTAACAACAGGAACAACAACAGGTTTTCCCTCTATCCACTCCATCCCCACAATCTAGGTATTCAGTTATGCATATGTTCCACTAAAGATTGCAGATAGTTCCTTCAAACATTTCTATTATACAGAAAACTGACTCCAGATTAATAATTTGATTCCCAACATCACATACTTCCTTGATCTAATCTTGCTCCACTCTCCTTGCTCCCGCTGCCTCCGCAATTTTCCATGGTTCATAGATAAGCCTTTCTATAGCACAAATAGCCGATGAAGATGTAGATTAACCTTACTCTTCAGCATTTTAAACATACTCTAAGGAAAGTAAAATATAGATTAAAAAGGGATTTAGTGTGTTCCTTCTTTTTCATTCAGCCTGATCTTTCTATATGAAATTGCTAATCTCAGGATCTTCTTTTTGCTTTTGTTCCCAAGCCATGTGTGCTTTGAGCTTTTTAATTCCATCTGGAGCGCCAAACAGAATGTAGCTAATTGTATGCTAGGCTTGGCCATCCCTTGCAATTTCCCTAAATCGATCTTCTTGTTAAATTTATGAAGCTACATCACTAATTCTTGCTCTTGCGTGAACATTCATACATGCATTTGCTTTCTCCAACACTGTTCTTGCAGAAGGCAGACTGAGGTCAGCATGGTACAGACACATTTGTCCAAAAGGAAACTGCAAGCATCACTTCAAAAATATACTTCTGTACCTCTGCAAGGAGCATGGAAGGAACAGCAGGAAGCTCTTCTAGGAAACATTTTGGAATAAATAACACTAATAAAACAAAAGGCAATTAATAAGCCAATTACAGAAATTGCAAAAAAAGCGGGGGAATTAGAAGTGAAAGGGCAACAAGTAAAAGGATGTTATATTTCAGAAAAAGAACAAGGAAGTGAAGTGGCAGATCCAGAGCAGCCAAGCTAGAAAGAAATATAAAGAAAAAGAAAGAATTTCATAAACATTCCTTATTATCTATGTAACATGTGATTATCATCATAATTAAAGTAATACCAAAATGCAGACAGAAGACTTTTACTGACTTTATTAGATAAGATTTAGTGGAAATGTAGAGATGGAGGAACAGAATGTATGGCAGCAAAAGTGCTCCTGAAATCACTGTTGAGGCTATAAGACCAGCGGTAATTTTAGAAAACAATACAAAAAATTCAGATGGCTCCAGGCTAGCAATTTTCAGTTGAAGAAAAGAAACATCAAGGAAAGCTGTCTGACACTGATATTTTGGAGCAGGAGGAAGGAAATCATTTTTATTTGGTAGCAACTTGTCCTTAAGCAGAATACAAGCATAACGATAAAAATAACAGGGCAATATAAACCAGTCTCAATCGGTATCACTATAAAAAAATCAATATAAAAATATTATCTAACCCAAAACACAACTGTAATTTAAGATGCCATTGGAAATAAAAGTTCTTTGAGCTTCATAAAGGTCCTGAAAAATAGAAAGGGCTTTTTTAAGCCTCGGGGAACAAACTCCAAACATAATTCAAAGGGTGTTGATTCTAAAGAGCAGGAGCAAAATGTCAGGTGGCCCTTCTCACAAGAGGGAAAGCTAGGTGATCTCAATAGCTCAATGAAGCCAAGCAATTAGGAGTATGAATTGTAATCAAGTTATTAAGAAAGCCAGGACTCCTTGTATGCATAGACCAGAAGGTCAGACTGGGGAAAGAATCAGGACAACAATCCACTGGAGCAGTCCAAAACATGTTGCAGAAGTGGATGCATGCAATAAGACTGAAACTGCAGCAACTGAAACAGGGAGAGTGTTCAGCAGGTTAACTAGATGTCTATAATTGCATTGACACAAACATCTTCATTTTTTTAACCTGTAGGTTTAAAAATAACCCTTAATCAATTTTAATGTAAGTACAATAAAGGTGTTCCTCGACTTATAGTCGCTTAGCAACGGAAGTTATGACAGAACCTGAAAAAGCTACTTATGACCCAGATTGGAAGTTCTGATGGCCACTCCATCCCCCCCACAGTCACATGACTAAATTTTGGGCCCTTGGCAACTGGCCCACATTACAACGGTTTGCAGTGTATTGCAATCACATGAACACAATTTGCCAGAAACAATGGGCTTGCTTAACAATCACAGCATTTGCTTTACGACTACTACATTCATTTAACACAACCACAAAAGTTGCAAAATCCGGCATGGTCATGTGGTGACTCGCTTAATAACTGTCACAACTTACAACCATAATTACAGGTTCAATTTCAATCATGTCAAGGAGTATTACATATTATTGATTCAGTTTTTGTAATTTTCTTTTATCTCTGTTAGCAAAATCAAAATGATGTGCCTAAAAAGAATAGAAAACTATAACATCGTTTAAAAAGTCAATGTGCTTTTTAAAAGAATGATCAATAGGCATACTAACAATTATAGCATCAGAAAACAATGCTATAACGTTTCATCATAAATGAAAATAATACTGTTCACACAAATGTTACTTTTAACCTACTTTTATCTCATTATGTTAATTTCTATAAACTTTACAGTGTATCCTTTATTTGGTTCTTTTATGAAATCCATTTCCCTTCAAAAGTTAGAAAAGATATTATTTCATATGATGTTATCATTTTAATTCTTCTTTAAAATACAGAAAATAATTAAAATTTCAAAAAAGCATGAATTTTCTCCTCAGACAATGCCTTTAGACAGCCACAACTTCTTAGTAATCCTTTGCTCCGCCAACTAAGTGGGCCATCACAAAAAGAGAAAACAATTATTGAATGACAGAACAGTAGAATATTGTTATTTCAAATTCCACTATGGGATTTGACAAGTCTTTTACAATTATGCAACCAAAAATCCTAACAACTGAACTAATGTATGATGAACCAATTTAGTTAAAATTTTTCAGGGATATAGAGTATCTTGAATTGTTTGGATGTGGGGCAGAATGGCTGAGAAATTCAAATTTATAAGTAATACAAGATTAAAGGTGAAGATTTCCCTGTTGACTCATGTCCATGGGGTGGTGCTCACCTCCGTTTCATGGTTGAGGGAGCCAGCGTTATCCAAAGACATTTTTCATGGTCATGTGGCCAACATGACTATACTCCAAGGCACATGGAACACTGTTACTTTACCACCAAAGTGGTGTTTGTGTGTGCGTGTATCAGTGATGGGTTTCAAATTTTTTTGGAACCTCTTCTGTAGGTGTGGCTTGCTTTGTGGGAGTGGCCTGCCGGCCATGTGACCGAGTGGTAGTGGCTTGGCAGTCATGTGACTGGGTAGGCGTGGCCAACTTGTAAAATGTGTTGAAACTCACTTAACAACGCTCTTGTTTAGCAACCAAAATGTTGGCTCAGAAACTCTGGCATGTGAAGCACACAAGTCTTAAAGCTGTCAAGTTACAAGACCCTTGCACCCCTAACCCTTTAGAAAAAGCCCCCAGGGAAGTTCAAACTTGACAGCTTTAAGACTTTAAGGTTTAGATAGGACTCTTAGAGGTGGGCGGGGCGATTGGTGAGCCAGCCAATCAGTGAGCGGTGGAAGGGGCAAGCATGGTATGGACGGCCACGGAAAGGGAACTGGAACTGGTTCTAAAAGGCATGGTAGATTTGTGGAACCTCTTCTATAGAAGAGGTTAGAACTGGCATGAACCCACCCCCGGCGTGTATGTATTCACATTTGCATGCTTTATGAGCTGTGGTGGCACAATGGTTAGAATGCAGGCTAATTCTGCTGACTGACAGCAGTTCGATTCTCATCGGCTCAATTTTGACTCAGCCTTCCATCCTTCTGAAGTTGATAAAATGAGGATCCAGATTGTTGGGGGCAATATGCTGACTCTGTAAATCACTTAGGTGGGGCTGTAAAGCACTATGAAGTGGTTTATAGTTTTCACTCTAAGTGCTATTGCTATTGCTTTTGAATTTGTAGGTGGGCAGGAGCTGGGAAACAACAGGAGATCACCCCGTAGCACAGTGCTCAAATCTTGAACCCAGGCAGTCAGCTTTTCAGCTGACAAGCTCATCATTTTTAACCACTGAGCCATCGTGCCTCCTTTAATATAATAACATTATTTATGTTCTATAAGAATGAAAACGTCTGAATTCTATTAAGCAAAATAGAAGCAAGTAGCTTATCTATTTTCTAGCAATATGGATAGCTAAAATTTTACATGTCAGTCAGTTGTTCCATTTTTGATATCATCAAATGCATAACTGCAATCATGTTTATTTTTATCAATTAAATACACCAAATAGATTTAGATAGTGAGATGTTATATTCTTTTCTGGCTTAGGGAACAAAAGTTTTAGATTTTATGGTTACTTTTACTTAAAAAATAAGCATGTTAAACTGTCAGTATTGTTTTTATTTTAGCTTTTATAATAAAATTGCCACGAGAATTCATTAAGATTACTCATAACTAAAATGGTGAATGAACATGGCCACAATACTTCCTACCCTTTTTAGTTCTGCTAAGGAAGGCAAGATAAAAATAGTGCAGCTCACACATGCTGCTCACTGTTTTATTTAAAGTTCCTTTAGTATTTCCAATTTCAATTGGTAAAAATCAGGATTTTAAAAATTCTGATACCTATGTTAGTCTGAAAGAACTATATTTTTATAAATCTAACTATTAAACAATTCATTTGGAAAGCTATAAATAAATGAATAGAATTAAACCAGATGGTAGTTAATTCAAATTCTTAGTTAAGAAGCAGTAATATTGACCTCAATCACTCTGGCTTCAAAATAAATGCTCAAGATGCAAATAAGCAGAAACGACAGCTGTTTCTTCAAAATATAAACAAAAACCATTTTCCATTTTAAGCAGTATGTTTAGTGCATTGATATCTGGAATACCAATATATTAATTCTAAAGCAAATGCCAAATATAGCACATATAATAAAGAATGGGTTGAATGCATCAGCAGCTATTTGGTATCCACGTATATAAAATTAAATTTAAAAAAAATGCTTGAAACACCCACAAATCATCACATATACACATTCCTGCATAATTATAGAGGAATACAAGAACTCTGACTTGAAGCCTAGCAACAGTATCTAAGTATTAGTTAGTCTGCTAATCAACTACCAAAACTCACGCACCACCACCTCAATGTGTTTCATATTTAAAATAAAATCCCTCCTGTTTCTATCTTCAGAGCAGCCGAAGGAAAAGGAATATGATAAAACAAACCTTGTTCATTTGAAGAGGAACAACCCATGTCATTTAATCCATCGGATAATTCATCTCATCACAAACAGCCAAGGCAATACAAAATAAAAAGATTTAAAAATAGATTATCCAAGTCAAAGGATCTTCGGTTTGCAACATCTTTCAAATGTGCAGACCTGTATTTAAAGAGATAGTCCAGATTCCTATAGATATTATTGCTAGTTTTTTGCATCTCCATCCTATAGAGGCCCTAGTAAATGCTGTATGGCAAATGCTTTCTAAAGCTTCAGTGCTCATTTAGTCACAGACAGCTGTAGACTGGATGAAAACAATCAGGGATTAACTTTTTTATTCATCGTAGCTTTTAATCTATTACTTTCTCTTCAGATAAATAAAAACATAAAATGTGACAACTAACTACAGGACAAGCAAGCAAGGATAACATGTCAAATAAGGATATTTATCTTTTGGACCCTAAAGACTTTCCCTTTTAAAAGACAGAACACTGGTTATAAAACATGCAGTAAATGAAATGATGCAGCTCTCAAGAATAATTTAAGGTGAATATTAAAAATACTCTGATAAAATTGTAATATTTATATAAAAGGCTTATTAAAATTGTGAAATTTGAATAACTTAAACTAAATCACACTTAGTGCAATACTTAAAATTCAGCTACACCCATTAAAGAAATATGTATGACTCAGCCAGAAAAATCTTATTTGCCTATTAAATGTTTATGTGTATGTATAGGTCTTGGTGTATTCGGGTCTTTTCCCATGTAAGATTGAGAGTATCTTGGCGACATATATAAACTTACTGTATATAGATTAAAGACTAGGATCTTGTTTGTCCTATCAAAAATGCTTTAAAATAGAATTAAATATATGTATCTTTCCAAGAATTTGATTTTTTTTTAAAGATGAAACACACACTGATCATTTTTTAAAATCTAAAAATAGCTTTACTACTACATAGCAAGTGATGTACTAATGAAATGACACAAACCAAGACCTTATTTAGATGCTATTTTTATTTGGAAACACGTCTTTAGGTTCATAAGTATTCCTAGCTTCCCCATCTATAAAGAAAAAGAGGACTAAAACTGGTAAAATGCATTTTTCTCTTGCTGACATCTTTAAAGCTAGACTTCAATGTGTGTGTGTGTGTGCACGCGCGCGCGCATGTGTGTGTGTGTATGGTGTGGTGTTTTGACTTCTGGCAACTGCCCTACAATTTTCTTGGCAAGATTTTCAGAAGTGATTTGCCTTTTTATTCCTAGGGCTGAGAGACAGAGACCAGGTACAATATGAAGTATGACTGAGGCAAAATGTGTTTTTTCTGGTTGTCTACTGCTGTGAATAAATTGGAGCTGATAAAAGCCACACATGTATAGGCACACTTCTGGGTTCCAGGGCCACCTATGCTTCTGCTGAGCATGCCAAATCTAGGGAAAACTGCAGATCGCAAGCCTCAGTCTTTTACGGAATGGAAATTCAAGCACAACCTGTGTTCGACCCTTAAGTATCCGGTACAAATCATGATGTGAGAATGAGGGAATGACATCACAGTGCAAACCTGAACTTTGTACCTGCATCCCAATGTTTGACATAAATACATGGGTCACATGGTTTATGCCACAAAGCACATTTTATTATTTGCCCCCACGCTTGCACATTCCTAGGGATGCCATTTGTGTTCTACCTCTATTTGATCCAACAAACTTCCTAATATATAAGATGTCCATCTTATCAGGATTTAGCTTCAGTTTGCTTTCCTTCATTGCCTCTTATCCTCTTCGCAGAAAAAAAAATGGTGTACATCTCATATTGATATTTAAATGTCCAAAAAGGTCAATGCTCCTGCGACAGATGGAAGAACTCTCTGACCACATCTCAGAGTTGGAGCTACATCATATTTCAAGCCCTCAAAAGTGTTTATCAATTTTATTCCTAGTATAGTGTTCTAAATCTGTGCAATTTTTACTTTTACTCAATATTATCTAAGTAAAAAGATTCTAAAACCAAAAATACTCCCACCACAGGAAAGATGTTCCCTCTTTCTCTGAACATTTGACATATCTCCTAGATCTAAAAACTCTTAAAATATAATGTTTAGTACTGCACTACGTTGATCATGCCCCAGTATATAAGAGTATTAAGAGTATAAGAAAAAACATTATTTTTTCTGATACTATCCTGAGAGAAATAACATTTTGACAAATATCAATAGAAGAGAATATATGTAGCTCAGGGTTGAACTCTGAAATCTTTAATGATCTCTGAGCTTGGTTGTTTGCTTGCAGGCATTTTTGGGAGTTTTGGGAGTTTTTCAAAGTGTACTTTTAATTAGTTTGGGTTTTTATATATCAAACATTATTTCACATATAATACAAAAATTATTTCATTTTATTCTCATTCTATATAACTGATGAGTGCAATAACTTCCGTTCAATATTAAACAGAAATCCCAGTGTACATACCAATATCAGTTTCCTTATGGTTCTTGATATATTCCGCAAGCTCAAAATTTCCAGCAATTATTGCCACCTGAAAAATTATAAAACAGGTTATATATAATATTTCAGTGTATAAATAGAAAATAAGTTTCAAATTCTAGGAATCAATACATAGATGATGAAAGTTCTACAGTACAACCTTCTGCATGTTTTCTAACTTCTAATGCAGAGGTGGATTGCTCCCGGTTGGGCCTGGATCGGGCGAAGTGGTAGTAAAGGTGGTGGAAGGCTCCACCCACCCAGATGCTTCTGCACATGCACAGAAGCATCACGCGCACATTAGTGTGGCCAAACTGGTAGTAAAAAAATTGGCAACCGACCACTGTTCTAAAGAGTCATGTACATAAAAAAGTAAAAGTGCCGCTGGAGTTTTACTCTACTAATTGGCACCAATTTTAGAGGTGCTCATCTCTGTGTCTATAAACTACTGAGCCAGTGCTCTCTGACAATTCCACAATCATGTGGCCAGCATGATGTCAAGTCACAGCGCAAAACATATGAAAAAACATGGTATACTGTAACCTTCCTACCAAAGTGGTACCTATTTATCTACTTGCATTTACATGTTTTTGATGTGCTGGGTTAGCACAGGCTGAGGCAAGTAACAGGAACTTACTGCAGCATGCAGTGGTAGGACTGAAAAAAACAGACCATTGACCTTCTCCAGTATCTATTAAGCCACTGAGCCACCACACCTCCCCAGTCATATACACATTGCCTATTAAAAAGAAGTTTTAATTTCTGTAAACTTTTATTTTAAACATAGGACTGGTCAACTGATGGTTCACAAAAATGTATGTTGACCATAGAATCAGCAAAAGGACATTTGGCAACAATGCTTCATAATAGTGACATCTGGCAACATTTTCCCATGAATAGGCAAGCAAGTACCAAAATAAAATGAAAATATAAAAACCAAATCATAGGAGGACATGTTATTATCAATCCAAAAAAATGATAAACATTTTTTCAGTTTTCAATCCTTAGTTTTGCAGTCCAAAAGCCTTACTACAAAAATTGATTTTTATATATAAAATTATTAGAAAAAAAGGAAATCATATTTTAACTGAAAATATGATCACACAATATTAAACTAAAAGTTTTAAGGAGGCATTTTAGCTATTAATATAATTCTCTGTTCACTGTAAGGATCTAAATGAAAACATATCTAACCGAACATCGGTTGAACATAATCTGTGAGGTTTATGATGATTTGAAATTAATACACAGGCATGGATAATCCACTTAGCCCAAAGTCATAGACTGGGCAACTCTATAAATTTAATAGATAAATAAATTTACTGCAGGTATTTATTAATTACTATTTCTTTTGTGCCTGTTTGATGATGGTGGTGGTGATGATGGAGGTAGTGATGGTGATAATGATTTTTTAAATTCCCTGGATAATATCATGTGATAATCCAGGAAATTTAATAAGCACAAACTGCTTTGGAGCATTAACAGTATTAGTCTAGGACCGTGATGGCGGACTTATGGCACGTGTGCCAGAGGTGATACGCAGAGCCCCCTCTGTGGGCACAAGCTGCTCTTCTGGTTTCTGGATGGCACGCATGTGTGCCGTACAGCTGGTCTTCAGGTGCGCTGGAGCACCAGAAACCCAAAGACCAGCTGGCCAATGTGCATGCACATGCCAGCCAGCTGGTCTTTAGGTTTCCAGGATGCACATGCATGCATGCCAATTGGTCTTCGTGTTTCTGGTATGCATGCGTTCCAGTTTGGGCACTCAGTGCCAAAAAGGTTCATCATTGCTAGTCTAGGAACTACACTGCATTTTCAGTTTGCAACAGAAATTTCCATACAAAGAATTAACCGATAATTTCCATTTTAGAAACGATCTTGTCTCACTTATTCTTTTAACTATTAACTATAAACATTACTGGATTTTGATTATTAGTACTCTGCTCATCTACATTTCTGTGAAAAACAGTTCTCTCCTTTCTAGATGTTAAGAATCTAAACTTGCTTATCTTTTTGACTTAATGTTATCAGAAGTTCAAGATGATAGTGAAATACACAGAGAATGTAAATGAACATATAATGCCAAGGTTTGGTGGATGTTTCATTTATTTTAAAAGCAAGTCATCCAATGTGCTGTGTATCATTGTGAAAAAGCAACTGCCCCTTAGTAACTGGATTCAGTAACTTGTGGTGTGCCAAGAAGCCCTGGCTTCAATGCAAGTTAGGGCTTCTAGAAACTTTAAGGCTACAAGAAGCATCTGAGCTGATGCCAAGCTAGGCTGCAGCACACAGCTGAGCCATTTCATCCCAGCATCCAGATCAGCCCCACAGCAACAAAACTGCAACTACTTCAGGAAGCCCCAGCTGTGCCTGCCTGTCAGCACCATGAAGCCATAAACACTTTAGGAAACCACAGCAATCCTAGCAAAGCTAAGCAGCACGACGCAAAGCCACAAACTCTTGAGCCCTCACTTCCCTGTGTTCCACTGTCCCAGTGGAACTTTGCTGTCTTCTTGCTCACACTGCTGGGCACACAAGTCTTCCTCCTGAGCTCTTGAGAGGAAATTGCTATATTCAAATGTGGGAAGGAGGACTTGTGTGTCTAGCACTTCCTTATGAAGAGCCAGACTAATGATTCTTGGTCAATAAAAGCAAGAAGGTGGTGAATATATAGCTGAGACTGGAGAAGAACAGGATATCAGGAGCCTTGAAGTGCAGGAGGCCAAGAGATGTGAAAGAGACAAGTGTTGGGGAAAAGTTGCAGTGCCCCTACAGTCATAAATGCATGCAGGTTACCAAGCACCTAAATATTAATAACATGTTTGCATGTGCTACAATGGCTGTTACTTAGGCTTAGGGGACCCAACATAAATACCCTTTGTTTAGTACCATTGTAACTTCAAACGTCATGACATGAGGACTACCTAAATTATCCTATATGAGTCTCTGATACAGTCATGCTTCTTTTTCTAATGGAAAGTCATCTTTTCTTAAAGGTATGGATAAAGTAGAACAAAAGTAGGAAAACAAATGTGTATATACCACTCAAACAATGCAACCCAAATTAGATAGTAATTTGTAAAGTTAGATACTAATAGTAGTCAATTGCTAAATAATGTAGGCCAGGGGGTCCTCAACATGTGGGCCTTGACGGGTTTGCAATTAGGGCCTGGGAACAGCTAGTCAGTGTGTGCATGCGCATCCTCACTTACACATGCACATCCCCACTTGCATGAGCAGTGGGCAAAAGTGTGTGTGTGCTACATTTGCATGAGCAGCAGACGTACATGCACACTGCTCATTCAATAGAGCTGCTGGCTGCTTGCATGGAACTATCCTCTCTCCCCCTTCCCCCTGTTGGTCTGCAAAGCCGGAAACATTAGAGAACTCTGATGTAGATTAATATCTTAGGTTTTTTTAAAAAAAACTGAAAACTTAAATCATCATAAAAAAGAAAGTAAAAGAATAAAAAATTAAAAGTTAAAAAGCCATAAAAACAATACAAATAAAATGATTACAAAATTCCTAGTAATAACTCAGCTAATACAACTCATCTGTTACTTTAGTTAAATGTAGACCATATGAAATTTTATTGCCTCTTTCTTTTCCTCAAAGCCAATTGAAAGACTGAAAAGTGATAACATTTCTTAAATTAAGCCTTAGTTAATACACCCATAGCCTCCTAGCAGTACTTTTTTTCTTTTTCTTTTTTTTTTGGCTGCATCCCAAATTTAACACAGTCCATGTTTGATTTTTAAAAATGCCATCTTTAATCCATAACTTCCCTTCCAAGAATCTGGTTTATCATACTATTGATGCTTAAGCAAAAACTCCATCAGAGTATGCAATAAATTCAACAGAGGAATTGGAGTCCATTTTAAATATCGATGGAGATTAAAATCTATTTTTGTTCAATTAAACTAAGTTTCACATCAGACTTTTTTCACATCTAACAAAGCCAATATAACTGATCCATATTATCAAAATAAAATGCTAAAATGACTACCCAGAGTCTAGTAGTGTTAAAAGCTTGGTGGCTTTCAAAAACACAAATTAATTTGGATAAATTATTGAATACTATTATCTTCTAAAAAGTAGTTGTCAAAATTTTTGAATCTCCATGTAATAGGAATGTTGTATAATACAGGCAGTCTTTGGCTTACATTCATTCCTTTAGTGACCATTCAAAGATACTATGGGGCTGGAAAAAGTGACCAATGACCATTTTAACAGTTTGACAGTTGCAACAACCCCACAGTCATATGATCAAAATCCAGGCACTTAGCAAATGGCACGTCCCAGTGTCATGTGATCACTATTTGTAGCCTTTTCAGCTGGCTTCCAACAAGCAAAGTCAGTGGGAGAAGACATTCATTTAATGACCACATGGTTCTCTTAAAAACTGCAGTGATTTACTAAACACAAAAATGGACCAAAGCTCAGTGGAAATTTTGGGCTCAACTGTGGTCATAAATTGATGACTACCTGTGGCTTGCGCAATTTGCAACATTCTTTCCTGTTTCAAAAGCAAGCATTATGTAGTCTCAGAAAATGTTATAAGTAGAGCTCCTTTATCAGAATATTCATTACATTTTTCTATAGATTTGTTTCTAAAATAGAAACCAGATATTCCTTATGGCTTTTTTAACCACTCAATAGGATTTGTTATCCTAGTTGGTCTTGTGTCCCTATCAAATTTGGTTGTTTAAAAGTATCAAATATTTCCTTTGAAGTTAAAGATATAGCCCAAATCCTTTGAATGGGCTTCCAAAACCCTTGGAAGATTTATTCTATAGGAAAAAAATGACATATCTGCTCAGTAAGTACTTCTATATTCACAGTTATAAAGTCATGATTAAATTACATAAACTGAGAGTACATGATTTCATAAGAACAGACATGTTCCTGGATCTATTTTAACTTAACATTCACTTGATGTTTATTTTACCTAAGAAATTGATTTACTTAAATAACAAAACCTCAAATTCAAAGACAAATATATAGACTATAAGAACAGATACAGTATATAAGAAGGAATCTCGACTTCTAATA